GCAGCTGCTCATGGAGGCCCTGGGCGCCATGGAGCTGAGCACAGATGAAGTAAGAAGTAGAGGGGAAGGGTGCGGGGTGGGGAGAGCTCCAGGCCCTGAAATCACCCTAGGCACCATTAGGTCCTTCCCCTCTCCACCTCTCACCTCTCACCACATGTGCAGCTGGTCCCCTGGGGTGTGGGGCGGGTGGGGGAGGGCTCTGTGCCCAGTTCTCTCCAGCAGAGGGGCCAGGCCACAAGCACACACAGAGCTCTGGGTCCCCCGAAAGGTCCCCACACTCAAAAGGGCTCCCTTTCCCCTCCCCCCAGTATGTTGTGAACTGTAACCAGGTGCCCACACTCCCTGACATCTCCTTCCACCTGGGAGGCAGAGCCTACACGCTCACCAGTGTGGACTACGTGCTGCAGGTGAGGCGCTCGGCAGCAGGGAGGAAGGGTGTGCAGGGGACTCAGCGGGGGACACGGCACAATGCACAGGTTATGTACTACACCAGTGGTTCTCAAGCTGGCTGCACGTTTTACCTGGATTGCTTTTAGAAGTCCCAGGGCCCAGGCCACATCCCAGACCTATTAAATCAGAACCTCTAGGAGTGGCACTTGGACATCGGAGTGTCACAACTCCCCAGGTGATTCCAGTGTGCACCGTTTGTCCCTTTATCTCCGTTTTCNGAAGTAAGAAGTAGAGGGGAAGGGTGCGGGGTGGGGAGAGCTCCAGGCCCTGAAATCACCCCAGGCACCATTAGGTCCTTCCCCTCTCCACCTCTCACCACATGTGCAGCTGGTCCCCTGGGGTGTGGGGCGGGTGGGGGAGGGCTCTGTGCCCAGTTCTCTCCAGCAGAGGGGCCAGGCCACAAGCACACACAGAGCTCTGGGTCCCCCGAAAGGTCCCCACACTCAAAAGGGCTCCCTTTCCCCTCCCCCCAGTATGTTGTGAACTGTAACCAGGTGCCCACACTCCCTGACATCTCCTTCCACCTGGGAGGCAGAGCCTACACGCTCACCAGTGCGGACTACGTGCTGCAGGTGAGGCGCTCGGCAGCAGGGAGGAAGGGTGTGCAGGGGACTCAGAGGGGGACACGGCACAACGCACAGGTTATGTACTACACCAGTGGTTCTCAAGCTGGCTGCACGTTTCACCTGGATTGCTTTTAGAAGTCCCAGGGCCCAGGCCACATCCCAGACCTATTAAATCAGAACCTCTAGGAGTGGCACTTGGACATCAGAGTGTCACAACTCCCCAGGTGATTCCAGTGTGCACCGTTTGTCCCTTTATCTCCGTTTTCTTATCAAATGCTCCTGGTAATCCTCTGCTCCTATATTCTTATCTTTTCACATGCAGTAGGCTTAGAGAAGTTCAGTAACTTGTCTAGGATCAGAAGCTAAGCCAGACTGTAAGCTCTTAAAGATAGTACAGTGCTTGATGCCTTGTTTGCCTGGTGTCTAGCACAGCATCTGCACCCAGGACAGGTGCAATCCAGGATGGGGCCCAGCGTGGCTGGGGGAGTGGAGCGGGAATGTTGCTGAAGGCAGCTGCTGGGGTCAGGCAAGAGGAAGGGGGAATGGTCATGTGCTGGACAGTGGAGCAACCCTCCTCTTCCTGCCAGGACCCCTACAGTAACAATGACCTGTGCACGCTGGCCCTCCATGGCCTGGATGTCCCACCGCCCACTGGGCCCGTCTGGGTCCTGGGTGCCAGCTTCATCCGCAAGTTCTACACAGAGTTTGATCGGCATAACAATCGCATTGGCTTCGCCTTGGCCCGCTGAGGCACTCTGCTGCCTGGTGGGACTGTCCTCAGCCCTAGCCCAGAGCAGGAGCACCCTCTGGGAACCCCTTCTGCCTGGGCTTGTGCCCTCACGTGCGGACACTGTGTGTGGAGCTCCCGTTGGATGCTTGCCTTGCCCCCTGCACCAGCCCTTCCCTGCTTTGAGGACAAATGGAATAAAGACTTTATGTTCACAACCCATGGCATCTGGTTTCACTGGGGTTTGGAACAGAGGGAGGGGCACCTGCATGATCATGTGCGGACAGGAATGTGACACAGACTGACGAACTCCACATTCCCCCCAGGCTCCTGCATGCAGGGGTGATGCCATCCACCTGCTGTCGGCAGGGCTTAGGTGGAGTTGTGTACACAATGGAGCTAACCTTGTGCCCCTTCTCGCCCCTCAGGCCCAAGGCTAATGCCGTGGCAGTAGGCTGTGAGTCAGAAAGATGCTCCCAGCTCAGAGAAGCCAGCTACAAGCTCAGGCTCTGCCCTGCTGAGCTAGACAGCCCTGCTTCTCGTGCCCTGTCAAACGCCCCTCACCCTGCTTCCTACCCACTGCAGATCCACTGGCCCCTACCCCAAAATCGCTATTTACGCAGGCAGTCTAAGGCACTGCCACCTAAAAATGTACAACATCTGAAATTAAACCATTAGTCCCACTTTAGACATGGGGATACTGAGGTCCAGAGAGTAGAAAGCATTCGTCCGAGAACACGCAGTGAAGAATCATGTAGTAAACAGTACTGTAAGGTAGTGAGGAATCAAGACTAGAACCCAGCCCCTTTGACTCAGGTCTGGGGGCTTTCCACCTTAACATGTGCAGTTGGGACTGTCACAGGTGCAGAGCCTCATGCAGCAGGGTGCAGGGCCAGGTGTGCAAGCACACAGGCGTGCATGCACTGCTCTCCTCCATTTCATGGACTCAGGACTCCTCAGGCTAAAGTCTCTGCCCCAACTCTTGCCCGCTGGGCTGTCTGCGGGGTACACGTAGCTTGGGGAATGAGAAAGCAGCTTGCACACGAAGCTGGTGAAGCTCTTCTTCACTGTGGCCGCTCACCCATCTTTTGACCAAAAAATCTGAGGCACTGAGTTGTCCAATCAGGCCTTCAGTACCTCTAGAACTGCAGCCTCCAGGGATTGCGTGGGGCCCCAGGGCTTCTCTAGGGCAATATTCCCACAGGCAGGAGCCATCTGCAACATTCCTGTGCAAAGCCAAGAACACAAGCCTGGCCTACAGGACCCTAGACTCCCACTGATTCTCCATGTCCCCTTGCCCTGTGTGGCTTTATTTCCTCACTGCAAAAGTGCAAAAGGAAGGGTTGGAGGCAGTGTCCTTTCCAGCTCTGACATCCTGGTGTTCCATGACCTTAAGGTAGGCAGCCCCCCATCATCTCCTACACTGTACGATATGGTAGCCACATATGGCTATTTACATTTAAATTAAAATTAAAACATCACACTAGCCGCATTTCAAGTGCTGGATAGCCACACGTGGCTAGTGGCCACTGCATTGGACAGCACAGATACAGAGCATCCCATCGCCGCTAGGCAGAGCTGGACTCTGGACAGCAACAATCACTGGGGCCTTATGATTGAGAGGTTGCCGAATAGGCCAAAGGGACAAGTAGGGGAAACAAAAGGGCCCCTTCTCCATAGGCACTTTTCTGGGTGGGACAGTGAAATATGACTAGTGGGCTCCCTGAGGCAGAAGAGGACAGTGGGCAACTGAAGCCTCGCTGTGGAAGAGGGCTTGCAGCCAACAGAATCCTGCTCAGGAGGTGACAGAAAATGACCAGAGGACAGTCTGGCTATCAGAGAGGCTTGCCCCTAAGCTGGCCTGGCCTCTATCCATTGTCTCCTTCAGCAACTCTACCCGGGACACCTAGCCATCCCTTCCCCTTCTTCCCTCTCAGCAGCCATCAGCACATCTTGCCCTGGCCCTATGGCTGTGCCAGGCCTTTACCTCTGCTTCTCAAGGAGAGCACTGGGTCTGCCCACCTCCACACCCCTAATGTCCAACAAATCACTGGACTCTGGACCCTTGCTTGCCTTCTACCCGCCCCAGCCAGACTCCCAGGAGGGGAGGATTATTTACTGACCAAAACTCAATCTTGCTCAAAGTCCTGGCCTAAGATGTGTCTAAACACTCAGTGCCCGGGAATGTTCTGTGGCCTGTTGGGGACAGTCCAGTCTGCGGACTGCCACTCCTAACACCACCACCCAATGTCCTCTCTCCATGGAACGTGTGGGGTGGGGGTTGCGGGTCTGGGGAGCTCCCTGCAGGGAAGAGCCTTTGAGATGCAGCAGGGCCGCTCTTGCAGAGACTCTTCCAGGGGTCCAGGCACAGGAGACAGGGAGCGAGGACAGCTAGGGGGCGAGAGAAGGGGGACCCCAAGCCGACAGCTTGGGAGCAGCCGGATCTCCGTATTCCAGGATGAGGAGGGGGCGCGGGAAGAGCCCTCCCCCTCCCCTGCCGCAGCTACCAGGAGAGGCCGGCCCCGGTCTAGCAGCTCGGGAA